GACCCCCGCCCGGTGCCCGCCATGTTGGCCCGGGCCGGCGGCCTCCGGGGGGCGGCGGGGTCGGTCCCGCCTGAGCGGGAGGGTCGGGCCGGTGGCGGTCCCGCTGTGCTTCCGCCTCCCCTGCGTCCGGGGCGCGATCAACCTCTGAGAAATAAACCGATTTCTTCTCATAAAAACAGTTGGTTTTTCTCCTAATTCGCCTCCCGACTCTCTGATTGGGAAGGGTGAGAGCGATGGTCACGGGCAGCCTGCCCGCTGAGGGGCAGGGAAAAACGGTTTGTCCTCTCACGTGTGTTCGTTTGGAAACGAAGGGGAAAAGAGCAAAACTCAGAACGTGGTGTCAGCAAATCGGTTTATACAGGATCCAGCCTCATCCGAGCGTCTCCCGTCTCTGTCCGGGAGCCGGCGGACAGGGCCCGGGCTGAGGCCGGGCTCCTCCTTCCCCTCGGCCATGAAGAACAAGTTCCTCACCCGTCACTGCTGAGCAATGGGGCTCGACTTAAAACCACATTTTTCAGGACCCCGCTGTGGCTGGCGGTGTGATCCGAGAGCCCCGGGGATCAGCACACAGAGCTGAGGCACCCCCGGGAAGCGAGGACCAACTTCCCTTAGAAATCCAGCAGGATTTCGGAAAAGCCAGCCCCGTCCCACTGCCGTGACGTGAACTCGGCCATCAGCCGCCATGGCGGCAGCGACATGATTGTTCATCCCCCGTTAATCCTCACGGCTTGACACCTGTGCGCAAACCTGACGGACAGCACCGAGTTATTTTATGCCTCCTACAAGCGATGGGCGAGCTGGCGGCTGCCCATCACGCGGCACGAACGCCGCTGAGGTCGGTAAAACCAAGCAGTCATCAGCAGATGCTTGGGAAATGGTGAACTTCCAGATCCTCAAGACAGATAACTAAGAAGAACACCCCTTTTGCCCGCAGGTTTACAGCATGCTCTCTGCAGAGCCTCAGATCTCATCCTGAAAAGAGGATGAGAAATGGTGTTAATCTAACCCTCCCGAGTGTTAACCGTGGATTACACTGTTAGAGTCTTTTTTCTTCTTTGCCCATAGCTGCCATTGGTTTAAGACGGTCTTTCATCTGGTTTAAGTTGATTTTCTTTTAATTAAATGACTGAGATAAGTAGAAAGAATTTGAGGCTGGGTAAAAAAAAAGAAACAGCTGCAATTGTTAAGGATAGCCATTATGGAAATATTACCTGCAGCCCCATTTAAAGTGCATTTTTTTAATGCTTTGATTGCTTCCTTATTACAGTATTGAAATTGTAAATGGAAAATTACACCATGTTCTATTATATAAGCAACTGGTTTACACAGCCTGAAATATAAGGTTTTATTTATTATTATGTTTTCAGGGCTATGAACAATAGATTTTTTTATTATACAGTAAATAGCACTTTTCCACTTGACTTCGTTATAACACTTAACAGTAAAAGGGAGATACTCCTCTTTCATACACACATGCAGCAAACTCTCTCCCAGATCTCGGAGGACTGAGCAGCAGAGAAGCAGCTTTGGTTTATCTGGACAAGTTTAACTGAAGTGTCAAGGCACTTGATTTTAGCAAGCTGCCCAAATTACGTTCCTTAGTTTCTGGCACAGTGGTTGACTTGCCGATTGCCCATGTGATGAAGGAAGACATCAAAGGAAAAAGAGATGCAGGGATCTCACAGTGGAATTATTCCCAAACAGCGACAATCCTATGCAAAGGCTATATCAACTTGCTGTATTACATTATATCCGAATGTTTTGATTACCTATTAATTAACTTGGTGTCTTTCTTTGATGTCTTAAATTTTGTAGTTACCCAAATTCAGGTCAGGTATAGTAGCAGGTGTTTGGTTATGCTTACTTAATGTTTTTATTGCAAATGTCAGTTGTGTCTTCTAGAGTTTCCTTTAAAAGTACAGTTTGTCTTAGAATCTAATACATGTACTTTAGCAGTTTAGTATGTATTTTTCCCAAGGAGATCAAATGAAACCCCCATTAGATAATCAGTGTGAAGGAAAAAAATCTCATTTGCAGATTAAGCCAACCAGTTCCAGAAGAATTCAGTAAAAACAGTGCCACAAAGAGCAGTGTCACAAACAGAGAATTAAATGCTTTTCACATACTATCTTTCAAAGAAGTGAGAGACTTTCACGGCATCAGGGAAATCTGAAATAGCTGTTTCAGTAAAAAGGTGCCCATTGTACAAGAGAGATCAGATAATTTGTAAAACATGCAGTGTTTTACAGTATCTCTCGTCTGGAGTCCTGAGCCCTTTCCAACAGTTAAAAGGCTCCCCAAACTAGGGAAAATCTTGGATCTTCCCCTTTCAAGTTACACAACTTGATAGATTAAAAAAAAAAATTCCTTTGGTTGAATCAGAGTTGTTAGTCATTAATTATGGATGAAAGAGTCATTAATTATGGACTAAAGTAACATTTAAAAAATGTTTGCTCTTTTACAATGTTGTCAGATCACACTGAAAACTTATTCCACTATTGGTGCTTATCCATCAAATGTACCCTCAAAAGGAGTTTTTACACACTCAGCATTACTGTTGGAAGCACTGAATTGAATAATACATCAGAGCAGAACCTTTATTCCTTTTTATAGGCAGGCTGAAGTCCAGGACTTTCATTATTTTCTCTCTCTCACTATGCTGCATCTTTTAAGAGCCTTCAGATTCAAATTATCAGGTAGTTAATTTGAAAATAATTTATTGACAAGCCATGAAAGGCTTTGAGTGAAGTACTAGGGGATTTTGTAGCTTGATTTGGGATAGCTGTAAGAAATTAATCAGTTGAACAAGACCAAGCACATTCAGACGCTGGAATTTGTGCCCTTGAGACTGCTGTTCCCAGCCCAGGCACAGAACACACCTCAGAGAAACATCCTTCCAGGATCACTCATTCCTACGCCTCACCCTCGCGCGGCAAGCACGCCGCCAGCTCTTACATAAGGTCTCTTGCTACATCACTGCCACAGGCTGTTGTAAACCATTTTTCTCCCTTTTAATTCAGGTTCCTAGACAAGCAAAAATGCAGAATATTGCCAGAATAGTCTGGGGAATGGGGATTTCTGTTGTGGATGATTAATGAAATATTATTGTTTTGCACTTACAGGGAAATCATAGTTTCATGCCAGTAAGGTCAGGGCCTTAATATGTTATGTGCTCTACAAAGATGTACAGAATGATAGCTCATTTTCTGTTATGACTGAGCCAAAGCCTCATCAGGTTAGAGGGTAATGTGGTAGAAATAGTAACACTGCGCTGAAAGCTAAAGAAAACTTTTTTCTGACATTGCTAGTTGCAATTCTGTTATATCTAAAGCCACATCTCTATCTGCATCAAGACAGGGGGCCCAAAAGTAAGATGCTGGGACCCTGGCTTGGTAGATACCTACCAACTAATCATCCTTTGTGATATGCCCCAAATTGCCCTTGGATTAATATAATTTCTGCAATACTGTGTTGAGACAGACTTGGACCTATGTCGAGGCATTTGGTGTGTTCAGTTATATTTTGAAAATACATTCTTCATAACCTGACCTCCTCACTGCTAACTTCCCAGGTCAGGCTGCCTTGGCTTGTTCGCGTAAGTGTGCGGTCTGGAAGATCATGCTTCTGGCTATAGTCACAATGGATTTTAATGCAAATATTTTTATAGATATGCATATTATAAAGTACATTGCCAGCACCAAATCCCAGGATCTCCCACGTATTTTGTCACTGAGTGAGAATCATGAAGGAATGACATCTATTCAGTCCAAGAACAAGGCTTTTAAAAGCAACAAAGTTCCTGAGAATGGTTTGTTGCTAAAAGGGGTAAATGCTTAACACAAGTGGGAAATACTGTCACCTTAGGCTCTGCACAGAGACAATGCACTAATACCATGCACAGACTTTATTTTCTTCTCCCAGTGACCAGCCCCATCACATACAATCTTTCATCTCAGAATGGAGAAAACCCAAGAATCTTTCATTGAAATTTTGCAGTGAAATAATGATTTTTAAAAGTAATTTTCAGGAGTCTTTCTTCCCAAAGTAGATGTGCAACACACGCTGATTTGACAGATAAAAGAAACCCAGTACAAGTTATTTGTATCAAAATGAAAGTAACGAACATTTGAGATACTGATCACTACCCTGAAGTGATCCTATCGAAATACCAATTTGCAGGATGGGAAGAAGCGGGTGTAATCCAATAAAACAAAGCAATAATTATGAAAAAATTGAAAGAAGTCAAAGTCAGAAAGCTCTTGACTTCTTTTTGCACTGGCATTTGTCAAGGTGAGCAAAATCCATTATCAAGGAGCAGCCTGAGTTTTAACACATCTGAGTCTTTAAAAACGTTAATGTTTAATAGGGTGTGCTCATGCTTTATATATCCCTGGTAACAATGCACAGGCTGATAGGAATCTCTTGAGGTTGTAAATCAGTGGCAGAGCCTTGCAAGGCACACAAGCACTTGCTGTTCACTTCCATGGTTTATTATGTTATCAGAACTCATTGACTGAATTATGGCCTTATAACAGCTCTTTCTCTGTGTTATCCTACTATTACTGTAGCATTATTGACCTATGTCCCATTAGAAGATTATATGCCCTCCAAATGAGCACACAGAAGTTAGATGACTCTGTGGCCGTTTAATGTACAGGCTCATTTTCTAGGAGGAACCATTTGCCTGACCTACGCCCACAAAATCTGCTTACCTGAAGATGCTATCGGTTCTGGCTTGGGCTGATAGAAAGACAAAGACTTGTGAGTGCGGAGCAATGTTTTCTGCCCAGTCCTGTGTGGGATGCCTCACCTGCAAGCCAACAACTCAGCTGCAGGCTGTGTTCAGGATTGCATACTAGAAACCAAGGTATGTGAGGAAGAAATGGAGGCGAGGACATCATGTTAGTTGGATTTTAAAACTGCAGTGATTCCCTCGTATTGGAGAACTCACCC